TTTAGGGTTTTGTCACGAAATTGCCAAAGGGGGAGATTGTGAGATATATTTTTGTAAATTGGCATATTTCGGTAACAAAACAAGTCCTAGTCGAGTTGTAATTTCATTTACCATATCAGACTTGACATCGACTGCGGAATTCAGAGGTTGACGGAAAAGGAAAGTATTGTTGATCGTTGAAAAGGCAAGAAGGAGGATTTAGACATCGTTCCCCACTTATTCCCATTTAGGACACAATAATATACATGGTATATTTTCAGAGTTACCAAACTACAGATAATCCAAGTTCAGGCTGGAGTCAGTCAAGTAGGAACCAGTTCAAGATTTGGGAACCGGTTCCAGAGGCTAATACTCGAAGGATAATTCTCTGCCAAGTGGGAACAGGTAGTAGAAATGGAACCAGTAGCCAAATACGTCGGAAAGGCTTCTGATCTTCTTGAACCGGTAGCCAATTTGGGAAACGGTAGACTTGAACAGGTAGCCAATTTGGGAACTGGTAGCAACAGTCCTGACAGCATTCGAACTTTCAGTTTCCTATTCCCCTTTTTGATTCCACTTTCCTTCTAAAGTCCTATACATGAAATTTTCCTTATTTTTAAGAGGAATAGGACTTTGTAAACCTCTATATAAACCATGTCATACACAAGGTTTATAAAACGGCTTTTGTTATACAGATTCAATATTTTTAAAGCCTTAAGAAGTTAATCCCTCTCACAGGACTTGAAGCTGATCTTCCATCCTCCAGTCCAAAATCCCTTCAACATTTCTAATGGCCTTTAAAGAGTCCTACCATTATTCTTCGCTGTTTGTTTCCTTGACCGGATGTACCCTGGTCGTATCAAAGTTCAGGGCCCATCGATCAATAGTGGCTTGGTTGGATCGAGGTTTAAGGCTCATCGATTGATGCTTTATGGCTTGGTCGGATTGAGGTTTAAGGCTCATCGATTGATGCTTTATGGCTTGGTCGGATCGAAGTTTAAGGCCCATCGATCGTCAATTTGTGGTTTGGTTGGATCGAGGTTCAAGACCCATCGATCGACAAATTGTGGCTTGATCGGATCGAGGTTCAAGACCCATCTATCAACAAATCGATCGACAAATTGTGGCTTGGTCAAATTGAGGTTTAAGGTCCATCGATTGATAATTTGTGGCTTGGTCGGATCGAGGTTCAAGGCTCATCGATCAATTAATGTGAGCTTGTGGGTCCCATGTTTTGTGGGCTCGTCGACTGGCTTCTTCTGCTGAGTTGGCTGGAGCTCTAATATCACCAAGTGTTTGCCATTCTTTTGTTTACTTGTTATTCTTTTTGAAGCTGGCATTGGGGTGACATTAGTTTGATTTGACCTTTAATGACGTGGGATGATCTACATCCACATATAGCTATCTCTCACAATAGGTGCATCTCTAGTAGAAAAAGCACTAGTACGGTCGGCTCGATCATAATGTTAATACTGGATTCAACACCTGCGGCATGACAGATTTTACAAAGGCAAAGGATGGTTTAATTTGAGTTAGAAACGTGATGGGTTTGGTAAGAGAGAGCATAGGTTTTGTTTGTAAAATCAATTAATTAGGGAAAACAAATTTATTTAACGAGTGTTTTTAGCAACGGAGATGTAAGGTTTTAGTGATTAAGGTTTCAAGGAGTTGCAGGGTTTTGGTTGTTGTTGATGATGATGGTGTCATATTCCTTTGCCATGCTGTCAATTTTTAATTGGTTCTTGAAATTTTACTTCCACCTCAATAAGTTAATTATATCAAGATTAAAACTGCGTCGTTTTTTATATGGGTAAGATGGTCTTTTTACTTTTTTAGTACCAGAAGGTGAGCTAATGGAATAAAATGCAACAAAAACATAGTTTATAAGTTTTTCTTTTCTTTTCTTTTCTTTTTTTTTTTAAAATTTTTTTTTTACCTTTAATATAATATAGGATTTAGTTTCATAACATATCTTTTTGTTAAAAAAGTTACATTTTGAAGATGTTCAAAACTTTTTAAAAATGTGTTATAAAATATTTGAAAAGTATCATGTACGCAATCGAAATATTATTCATTATTTTGGTTCATTGTGCCTCAATGAAATTCGATAAATTATGTTTTTAATATTTTATAATATTCGTGTTAATTCCCAACACTTTCTAAACCCTCTTTGTTCCCTTTTGTTTTTTATTCCACTCTCTCTCACGATGATCATTTTATCACCACCCCGCTGAAAGATTATCATTTACAAAGGAATGAGCATCATTGTTATGTTTGGTTCTCTGAAAGAACGAAACTAGAAAAGGTAAAGTACACTAATACTCTTTTGGATTTATCAAAAGAACACATAAATAAAATTTATCTATTTTTTAGACAAAGATATCTCTTAATGGTTCAAAAATGAACAAAGACACCCCTAAAAAATTAACCAAATTACCCTTTATCATTCAATATAAAAAATTGAACCAATATACCTCCTGAACAATTTATGCATAAAAAAAATGAAAAATAAATAAATAAAATCGGCAGTGTCTCTCTCTCAATGGACCGGACGGCGGACCAGATGGCTCTTCCGATCACCTCAGATCCATACTCCGAACTGGGTTGCTCAAACTCAGGCCTTTGGCCATGCCCAGAACTGTATCCCGGTCCATCCGGTTCTGGCCTCTGGCCATACCCACCCCCAAATTCCTAATCTGTTCTTGCTGCCGAAGCAGCATCGCCGACGTTTAGATAGTAGACGTGATGGCACAGCTCCGGCTAAACTCCGGTTCTCTTTATATTAGACGCGATGGCTCCCTGACCATCCCTAACTCCGGCGCTTGCCACCTGGACTGGGAGGACCTTAAAACACTTCACCGCCGATCTGGTTGTCTTCTTCATCGACGGCGTCTTTTATCCACCGCCGAGGCGCTAATCTGCTTGTCTTCGATCCGCCGCAGAATCCACAGTTTGATTGTTTCACATAATAGTCTGCTATGGAGGATGAGATCTTCACCTTCTTTGAGTTTCCGGCGGTGAAGAGAGAGTTGAGGAAGCTTACAATCCTGCCCGGCGAGATCGGTTGCTTCGGTTTTTGGAAGTTTTGACTTCAATTTTTATCCCTTCAAGATAAAAATAAAATAAAATATATATTTTATGTAAAAAAAAATTAATTTACATCGAAACAAACGAGCCCAAAAGTCCAAAACTTTAATTAGAAGAAAATCGAAATTGTCAGCCAAAATAAAATAAAATAATCATAACTTCTCTTGAATGGCCAAAGTCGTCTTGGAGACGTAAAGATTACCCATTCTACTTTTAATTTTCTTTTGGGCATACGCCCAAGAACTATACAAAGAAATTTTAACTAGACCTCGTCAGTTGTAGAGGTAGACTTGGTTACGAAGGATCTATATTGTTCGGGCGAAAAGTCATGGGTCATTTCCGGGACTTTTCACATTCATTCCTTTTTGTCCAATTTATCTCATGTCCCATTACTTTCTAGAGTCTACACTACACCCTTCACCATTTGCCACAAATTATACTTCGGTTAAAAAAATATGGTCCATCTTATTATTATTATTTATGAGAAAAAAAAGAAAAGAAAAGAAATTATGGTTAAAAACATATGGTCCATCCTATTATTATTATTATTAAATTTTCAAATATGTCACTTTAATAAAAATAACCAAGACCAAATTAGACTATCCTCCTTTTCTATCCAAATTTTATTTAATTTCAAGTAGGGCTACCCAAACAATACATCGTCCTCAAGTCTACACGGCAATAACGTGCCAAAGCTATCTTCTCTTCTTATCCACATTCGGATTCCACACCTAAACCTATACATACAGCTTATATATATATCCTCATCACCATCCTCTAGAATCTAGATACACTATATAAAATAAAAGTATTTCCTATTAAATAATTAGTAGCCTTACACATGCATATGGGGCGTGGGGCGCGAATCACCTGTTATGCAATTTCTATATTGTTTCCTATGGTGAGCAATAAGTGGTCTTGGTTTGGCCACGTTTTACTCCACTTAATAAGCACTAACACTGTATTTGGCAATTGCACCACTATTTATAAGTAACATTTCACTACCATTTTTAAGTAACGTTACAGAACTCTAAAAGTAATATTACATAGTCTAAAAAGTAAATTACCATCATTTATAAGTATTTTTCATCCTCAAAACGTGGTGATGTTACTTTTTAGACCATAAAATATTACTTTTAGACTTATGTGATTTTACTTATAAATGGTGATAATGTTACTTTTTAGACTATTTTTATATTTCACCACTATTTATAATAATATCATAGAGTCTAAAAAGTAACATCACTATTTGTAAAAAGAAATATCATCACTTTTAATTTCAAATAATAACATAAATGATATGTTAAATTGAGTTATGTTTATATGTGACATTACTTTTTAGAGTATGTAATGTTACTTATAAATGGTGGTAAAATCTTACTTGTAAATAGTGATATAATTGGTTAAATATGGCCTTAATATCCGTTTGTTGAAGAATAATGTAGCCAAATATGAATCACTTAAGTTACAGCAGGAAGCTACGTAGAAGTCTCGTTGCAGGTGATTCGCGCCCACAGGACTTGAACCTCATGGCCTGTTTGAAACCGTCACGTACAACTGGCCTTCAAATGAACCTCAACCACCAAAAATACTACTCCTAATTAATAAAAATATAAAATTCAGTGACCAAAAATATAATAATTACTCACGAAAAAAAAAACTATATATATATATCATATTTCAATGAAATGGATCTCTGAATTATAATATAATCAATTTTCATTTTTTCTCTCTGAATTTTGACATATGAATTGAATAAGTTATGTAAGAATTCAATTATATCAAGTTAAATGAGGTTTGATAAATAAATAAATGGATAAAAAAGAAATATGAGGTCCTGTCTTAATTCACATATTATTGGATCATATAAAAAAACTATTATTTCTCCAAATTAAAAGAAAAAAAAAATGCCAGTAGAAATACAAATTGCAGAATTGATGGCAACGACCTTTTTAATTAATTAAAATATATTGTCTTCAAATTAATAAATGAAATAAATCACTAGTTATCATCAAACAGGAATGAGAGTACAGAGTCTTCAGACCCTATGTACATAAAAAAAAAAAAAAAAAAAAATCAATCACCTAAGTAAAATAAAATAAAATAAAAAAATAAAATTAAAGATAACAATTAACTTCCAAAAACTCCTAAATTAAAAATCCTGATTTTCTAGACTATATTTGATTTCAATAGATTTTGAGATTTCTGCGTCAACACAAGACGGAGCTTCTTCGCCGGATGAGGACTCTCCACCTCATCTTCGCGGCCGAAACCAGGCCAGAATTCCGGCAAGGCTGGCAGATTCAGGTCGAAATCGCGGTGGCTGTTGGTGGACCCCACTCCTTCCGACGAGGTGACGCCGCCGTTGCTGCTTCCAGCACCGCCTTCGTAGTGACACCTCTTGTGTCCGCCCAACGCCTGTCCGGTGGGAAAGCACTTGTGGCAGATGGAGCACTCATGAACCCTGCCGCCGCCGCTCGCGCCGGCAGTACTGGTGGTGGTCGAGGTGGTGGCGGATTGCTCGTCGACTCCGGCGAGGAGTTTCCTGTGACTGGCCTTGTGACCGCCTAGGGCTTGGTAGGAGCCGAAGGCCTTGTTGCAGACGGAACACTTGTAGACGAGCTTCGCCTCAGACGGTGGCGGTGGAGGCAGAGGAGCTGACGAGTGGTGGCGGGCGGATGAGTCAACCCGGCCGCCGCTGCGAGCGAGCATGATGAGGCAGAGAGCAAGGTACTCCTCTTCGGTGGGTGATTGTTCAATACGCGGTCGTTTAGAGCGCTTCCCCTTTTTCCATGACTCAAAATAGCTTTGATTCATTTTATCATAAGAGATGGAAGGAGTGGGTGTAGTGGGAGAGCTAAGAGCTTCAAGAGCCATTAGATCTTTGATTCTTCCTAAAGGTTTTAGAGAGAGAGAGAGAAAAAAAAATAGAATTGTAGAGAGAGAAACAAGCCAGCCAGCAAGCAAAGCAAGTAAGATAGCTGTGAATGGTTTTGAGAGTAGTGTGAAGTGAGGATGGATTTGTGCTGGCGCTTTATAAAGGGTGCGGACAAAGCCAGCGAGAGAGAAGGAAGTTGCGTGACAAGTGTTTGGAAAGTAAAGAGGGAAGTTGCGCAAGTAACTGTATCTATTATACTATATATATATAGAGTGTTTGGTTGGAGTTTTCTTGAGGCCCAAGTGGGGGGAGTGGACTGACTCGACTGAGGTCGGTTGAAGAGGGGGGGCCTACACGTATAAGTAGGAAGGAAAGGGAATGGAAAGGAAGGGAAATGAGTAATTAAGTGAGAAAGTGAAGACCAAAGAATAGTTCCAAGTCAAAAGCAGGCCTATTTTGACGACCCATACCCCCCAAAACAAACGCAGTGGGAGGCTTCTCACAGCACCCAGAAGCCGCCCTCGGATGGAAGGTATGTTTGCTATAACGACTTTTATCAAGTTGGGATTTTTTTGCACGTTTCATATTCACAGTTCACTGCATCTGCTCGCTGAGTACTGTTTGTTCAATTTGCTTAATCACACAACAAAGCGGAAATATTTTTGTGTTTCATAATATAATACTTATGTAAGTAGTATTGCATCGGAAATATTAGCTACCTTAAATTAGAATCGGAAAAAAATTTAATTCACAATTTAAAGTTTCGATTCAATGCTCCAAAACATAAAGATATCACATCATCTCTTCTCTCTTTTTCCTCTCTTAGGCCATCCTATTTATTGTATGTGCGGCGAGTAAGTGATGTGAGTTGTGCTACACAATTAGGAATGGCAATGAGACAGTTTGGAACGAAAATCTCATTCCTTGTTCTTATTTCCGTTTAATTTTTTTAACCCCCATAGCCGCCTTCAAAGTAGCCCCATTCTCGTCCTTATTTACATAATTTGTTTCCAAAATTGAGGTGGAAATTTTTATAATAAATTTCATAATATAATATATAAAAATAATTTAATAAATTTATAATATATTCAGAACTATTCATTTAAATAAAAGTGGACAGCAAATACCCCACTACTTATATGGACCGAAAGTTTATACTATGTACTACTTATTGATAGCATTAAATACATAGGTTTATACTTAATATATAGGTTTTATTATTTATATTGATCTAAACATATGCTTAATAATCAAGCATCAGTATATATAGAGATTAGATAGTCGGAATCTGTCATTTCAAAATTTAACTAAAGTCTCCCACTAAATTATTAAAGTATATGCATTCAAGCATAACTAAAAATATTCTATTTTATTTTTATTTTTTTATTTTATTTTTTTCATCCCTAGTGTGTTCTCTCTGGAATCATAGGGAAATTCGGAGAAACTTCCAGATTTTTCATATTAGTACTTATCAAAAAGAATCACCGATTTGGTATAAAGAGTGGCAAGAATAGCAAATAGGATAGGATTTGGGTTACAGATCGTCACGCTTGGCCCACGAAATGACGCAAAAAGAATCACCGATGCTTGATTATTAAACATGTGTTTAGATCAATATATATATATATATAAGCATGGATAAAGGGCACCATAAAAAAAGTGTGCCATGAAGTCACTGCTTACACAATCATTCATCTTTAAAACCAAGTGCTAATATAACAACCGCAACCCAATTTATTTATGTATTTATTGAAATTTAAAGTTAGAAGCTATTTTTATTTTTAAAAATTTTATATTATTTTTCTAATTAACCCATTACATATTTTAAAGTTCATTGAATTTCATTCTTTTAAAAGAATAATTAGAAAACTACGCCACATGTAAAAGATTTACAAAACATGTTCATGTCTTGTCTAGTCAAAAAATGAAATATTCGACTTTCAGGATATTATAGGCCATGTTCAAATCTTGTCAGCATGTTGTCAAAGTGTTCGATACCAACACAACACCTTCCTCTAGGTTGAGTTGAGTATTTATAAATGAGTAATGCTATTATGGGGTGCTCTTTACAAATTTGGTTGGGATCAATTCCTAAAAGAATATGTTTATAGGTCTTCTTTCAAAAAGTTTGAGCAACTCGCGAGGTATGGCTTTGTTTGGTTTATAACTTTGAGAACAGTTTTTTGTTCTTTTTCAGAAAATTGAAAATAGAAAACTGCACAAAAAACTCCGCTTGGTTTAGTTTTCTGAAAATTCAGTTATAAAAATACATGTGTTCAGAGAACTGTCTTTTATTATCATCTGAAAACTATTTTCGTTTTTTGAATTTTTTAGAATTATTTTCAAAGTTACAAATCAAGTATGATTTATAGAAATGAGATTCTACACTCAAGTTTGTGAAAAGCTCAAATTTTCTAGAAAAATGCTATAATTATTATTGAGTAAAGGACATATCTCTCCAACCAAAGTGTTGGACCAAATACATCCCATACGTTGATCCATTCAAGTGGAACCACTTGACTATATCTACTATTGAGTAATATGTAGGTGTTGGGCCAAGTTAGGACCAAAATATGGAGCATCTTCGGTACAAGACTGGCATATGAGCCCAAACCAGTAAAAGAAACCCAATAAAAGAAACAAAAGTAGAACTTGATAGCATCTTAAAGAGGCCGCAGCTTGTTCCATCCAAAATTGGTGGTAGTGCACATGATTCCCTCCTGGTATAAAAGTGCGGGGCTATTTTGACGAGCAGGATGAGAAATTTTTAGATGGGTCGTATTGGTTCTCCCAATTATAATTGAACACATAAGCAAAAATTAAAACTACTAAATAAAGCTTACACATATCTAATATAATTACTTATGTGCTCATTGATGATTGTCCGGACCATGTAATAACTTTTCAAACAAGCTTGTGCTGGAATTAATATCAACTTTTTGATGCTTCAACAAAAGACCCAATTGGGTCCCACAATAAAGCATCAAAGTTTTTTTTTTTTTTTTTTTTTTTTTTTTTTTTTTAATTTTTTAAACCGACAAAAAATATACTTACACGCCAAACTCTAATTTTTCACCCTTCATAGTTTTATCTCACTCTCTCTCACACACACACATATATGTATTCTTCTTCTTTGGCTTCGCCCTTACCTATACCTATAAGATTTTATGATTCTTATCTCCTAAATCAAAATTTTGGCTTCGCCCTTACCTATACCTATAAGAGTAATTTATGGACTACATTAGTAAATTCAGTAGTTAACAAATTCATGAATGGGGGTGGTGGGTTCCATCATATGATGTTACGGCGATATCATGTGATGGGGCCTACCACCCATTCACATGAATGTGATTCGGTAATAACTAAATTCGGTTCTCAAATCACTATTCTGTCTATAAACAAGCTTGAAATAAATCAAAAGTCCTCCTTTATTGAAATAAACAAGCTTGAAATAAATCAGAAGTTCTCAAATCACTATTCTGCCTATAAACTAGGTATTTTGTTGGTTTTAGATCTAAAATCGGTCCAAAAATTGTTGATTAAAGTGCTAAAGCGGCTATAGTCCCTGATTTTTGCCTCCTTAATCTTCTCATAAGTGTCCCCTTTCTCTATTGTGTTTTTAGTGGGAATCAACAACTTCACCATGTCTCGAATCATGTATAAATAGTCAATGTCTAGTCTGTGGTACTCACAAAGTCATTCTTGTGTAGTGTGAGCACAAGTGAGGTTAGTCCCCTAAAAAACGAAAATAAAATAGTTAATGATAATCATAAAACATCTATTATAAATGCATTGTTAAAAAAATACCTCAACATCGTTCTAGTCCAAGGGGGGAAAAAAAAAATACAAACATCGTTCTAGTCTCTTCATTAGCTATTCTTGTTAATAGCTCGTGCTCAGATTCAATGGTAGAAAGTTCTTTTCCGACTGCCCATTCATAGTGCATTTGACTGTGATCCTCATAGAGCATGACTCATTTTTTGTGATCAACCTCAGCTGACGACTAAATATAATAGAAATGATGACTAAGTAGATTTAATCATTCCAGTGGAAAAGCTACGACTCCGTAGCTGATACTATGGACCTTCCATTTTTCTATTTGATCCACAAAATTGAAAATTTCAGACTAAAGTTATTAGTTTATGAGCTTTATATTACAGGAAAATAATGCGGAAACAAAAGGAGTGGTAGAGAAATGTCGAAAGGGAATTTCTTGCTCTAATTTTAGCTTATACTTTGTGTAAAGCAGGAACCTTAAAATGTGATTCACCATATATTGTAACTAAAACTCCTCCTGCAAGTATCTAAAAATTTCATAGAACTAGCGTTGTAAAGATTGTTGCATCAAACAAAATAATTAACATAATAATTTTATGCACGTCCCGTGAAGCACACGTAAAATATGAATATAGTTGTTCCATTTTACTACCAGTTGAATCACATAATATTAGTTAGTAATAGCATCAAGCGACCCATTCAATTCAGCAAGCTATTCATGTACATGGCGACTAACAAAAAGTAATTGAAAGGGCTAGGAAATGGATGATGACAACCATGCTCCCTCTCGTTCTATATTCACAATTGAGGAGACCAATAGATACGAATCTTTCTCCACAACTATGCTTAAGACTCATATTCCTTCTTACAATGATTTAATTCCATTACTTCATAATCATGAATTACGTAACAAGTCTCATTTATCTGATCGTACAAATCTTGCATTTGCATTCGTTGGACAACATTCCATTTCATGCACTCATATAAGTGTGGACATAATCCCTATTTTATCTCAAGAGGAGGGGGTTTCAACTTTCACTCAGGGCTAGTTCGCAGTCTCCCTATACCCAATGCAATTTCAAGCATGACACCACAACATCTTTCAAAGTCGGGGTAAAACACATCTACTTCTCTTTAATTCCATATTTGAAAAAAGAAAGGTTATAATGTCCTTAAATGCTGGCGTCGTTTCGATAACAGCTGTTAAGATGACCAAGTTCCTCGAGCCCTAGCCGCACTTCATCTCAATACACCTAATGAAAGTGAATGGCTCCCAAACACTAGTGCAACAACCTACATTATTGATGATCCACGAACTCTCTCTGATCTAAGACCTTATATTGGTCCTGACTATGTTACAATGGGTAATAGTAAAAATTTACTCATCACACATGCATATTGGACAAGCACAACTCTTTCCTAAGGATTCACAGTTATCTCTAAAAAAATTTGCTTCTTGTTCC